GAAAGGCAAAGCCTTCTCTGGATCTCTGAGAGTCAGTGCTGAAATGAAGCTTCTGGCCTCCTTTTATACAATATTGGTTCCATACATTTCGATAGAGCCATAGAAATCATAAACTGCATCAATTAATCTAACTGCCCTGTTAATATGGGCCATCAGGGCCTAGGAGATGTTCACATATTCCAGAGGCAATGGGGCACCCTGATGCTCCTTTGCAAAACAATGCAAGATAGCATTCGAACCTCTAAATGACAAAGACAAGAATGTTACAATTTCAGGATGTTCTTTGTTCTCTTGACTCAGGTCAGACAGTCAGGCACTGTTTGCTGGCTGGAGGTGAGATGTGGGGTTCTACCTGTGGGGAAGCCTTTAGTCTTGTTCTTTAGGTCTAAATGTTTCCAAATTCTTTAGGTCTAAATGTTACCAATCTCTTTAGGTCTAAATGTTTCCAAATTCTTTAGGTCTAAATGTTTCCAAATTCTTTAGGTTCATGAATAATGTAATGCAGATCTTGGTTCCTGTGTAAGATGGAGGAAAGACATCTCTTGAGACAAAGGCCTAGCAAAATCATGTTGGGGATCATGTTCACTGTGCTGCTTGGAAAGTTACAGAAATAGAGGAGAAAAGAAACACCATTATTTCTTTATAAAATTAACTGTATAAATGGGGTTTAAATTTTCTGAACCAACTATTTTATTTTTCTAACAGCTTCCAAAAGGTTGAGGACCCCTCACCCCTGCTTAATGGGATGTTATTGACCTCCATGACATTATAGGTCTCAGCTGACCCTTTGCATGCATTAAGCTTCTATTGAAGGGTCAGGACATTTTATCCTGGGCTTGTTGGTGACCCTAGGGGGGTGCATTGTGTAACCATATGCCCTGTGTGACTGGCGAGTTGCAATCCCCAATTGGGGGCAGGGGATCCCGTGGTTTGGAGTTTGGAGTCCCTCCCCCTGCTTCAGGGCCGTTTGAAAGCAGGGGGGATGGCTGTTGGGTGCTCCATTATACCCTATGGAGACCAGTCCCCATAGGGTATAATGGAGAATTGATCTGTGGGTATCTGGGGCTCGGGGGGGGGGCTGTGTCTGGAGGAAGAGGCACCAAATTTTCAGATTAGCTAGTGGTGCCTCTCCTGAAAAACACCCCCAAGTTTCAAAAAGATTGGACCAAAGGGTCCAGTTCTATGAGCCCCCAAAGAAGGTGCCCCATCCTCCATTATTTCCAAAGGAGGGAAAGCCTTTGAAAGGAATGCGGACCCTTGTCGGCCTCACCTGGCAACCCTAGTGACATCACAAAAGTAATGTCACAGCATGGCTCATGGGCGTGTGTGTGTGGGGCTAGAGAGTGAATGTGGTGGCTGAAAGGGGGTGTGAATGGGGTCTTCCGTTGCTGGCTTGCCTTGTGCGGTCAGCATGGCTCATGGACGTGGATGTGTGTGGCCGGAGAGTGGATGTGATGGCTGAATGGGGGTGTGAATGGGGTCTTCTGTTGCTGGCTTGCCTTATGCGGTCAGCATGGCTCATGGGCGTGGATGTGTGTGGCCGGAGAGTGGATGTGATGGCTGAATGGGGGTGTGAATGGGGTCCCCATCGAAGTGGTACCTATTTATCTACTTGCAATTTCTTGCTTTTGAACTGCTAGGTTGGCAGGAGCTGGAACTAGAGACGGGAGCTCACTCCGTCATGCGGCAACTCGGGTCTTGAACTGCTGAACTACTGACCTTCCACAGCCTGCAGTTCAGCGTCTTAAGCACTTGAGCCACCGCAGCTCCTTGTTCCTTAGGGCAGAGCTTTTCTGAGAGAGTGGTTAGAATATCACACTGGGTCGCCCCACTAGTATTTTTATTCTTTTTGCAGAATGTAGCATGGAATGGCTGTGAATCTCAGCAACTCTCTCGCATAGAAATGGAGCTCCGTGGAACTTCTTCCCTTTGAATGTTATGGTATTCCCAGTGGTTTGATGGAGGGCCACACCTGCCCCCCCGAATGGCCACCCCGAATGGCCACCACACTCCAGTGTTCTTAGATACCGCTGTTTTTCTTTTCCAGTTCCAAATTTGTCATGATGGATACCCTCTGGCACACTTGGATTTCAGTGTCATTTAAAAAAATTAAAATAATATATATTTCAATACTATAATAGTAAATATGCATTTAAAAGTGTGTTGTATAATGGCATGCTGTATTTATGTTTTGTTGTTTATAATTTTTTTTAAAGTGTGTTGTGTATACGTGTGCTATGCTTGTTTCTATCAGTTTTTCACTGTGGATTAAAAAAAGAGGACTTTGTAAGGGTATTCAAAATTGTTATCCTCTTCTATTTTGGGATCTAAGTGTTGGAAATATGGGTGCTGCAAGGTCTAAATTTAGTCATTATAGGGTTAATGTGCTTATCTTGTGTGCTCTTGTTTAGACTGACCTGGACAGGAACCTGGCAGAAAGCCCGGGAAACTAGAGCCTATTTACTAACAATC